CTCACTTAGGGCTGATCGAACGGTCCGTTTGTGAATCTTGGAAGAACAACTACCTCCTCTAGTTTTGCTATCAGGCAGAAATTTACCCACACGTAAATCATGAATTTATTTTGCAGGGTATAGCGATCAATGTACCGTGGTTTGTTTTGGACTCTAGTCCCATGATGAGTAAAGTGTGATGCCTCCAGACTAATCTTGAACAAGTGGTTTTAAGCATACCAGGTGTATGAGCAAAGTGAGTTACTCTGATAATCTACCAGAGTCTCAAGTGGGTAGTATGCATGTGTTTCACATGCGGGATCCTCAGTTGTACTAAATGGACAGTTCTAGGTGATCCGGACATAGTGGCTGCTCTGGTGTTGATTTGAAACAATTGGTTGTAGACACCTGAAAATTTTATTATGGAAATTACTTACCAGCTCATACTTCTCTTGTCCCTAGAGGATATTTACTCAGTTGAATTGTTTCTCAGCAAAAAGAATGATAAAATGTCGCGTAGAGTTCCGGGTAAGAGATAACACATAATATGGTCTTCAAATAATTTGCGTTTTTCGCTTTATAGGATTATGGGATTCGCGAGGGTTTCATCAAGTCTCCGCTTGAAAGATTCAACACTTGGTGCTCAAACGACGTGATATGAAACGGTGTTCTAAGTTGTCAAGGAGTCGGCATGCTCCCTTAAAACTGCTTTGTTCTGGGACAACCAATCAGAACAACGATAGGCGACCTCAAGTGATTTGCCGGAACCGCCAACCAACCCAGACGGTTTACAGAAATCCAGTGGACCAATCGTTTGATATATACATTCCCCTGTCTTCGCCCCTTCCTATAATAAGGCATGTTTTTTGCACAATACATGAATTCCTTCACGCTTCCAGTTGTGTTCTATTTCATTATCTGTGGAGTTCCTATCTGGCCGAGAATACATTACAGGCAAACGATCCTACGAGAATCCAGTATTGAGAAAATTCTATGCGATTACAACAGAAGTGTTGCACACTCTGATTGCGAAAAGAAATTACGCCGACATTCTACTTTACACTGTAGAACCAGTAAATTGAAACTGTCTCCTGAGGTTGTACGTTGGACGACAACGTGAGCAGCGGCCGACATAGATGATTTGATACACCAAAATCGAGTCTCCTCAAATCCGGTGGCACTGAGCAGAATATACTCCTCTTGATTGTAATCTCTCCTCAAATTGGAGTCAGTTCAATTCGTTGACTATCTTGGTGATAATCCTTTTTGGATGATCCAGTATCTTAAGATCACGTTGCAGCCATCTACTTCAAGCTTGGATGACGTACTATATGTACGGTTGGACGCACACTGATAGGAAACGCCGGAATAATGCTTATTCAGTTCTACCAAAGACTCGCGTAAGGAAGCCGACAGTATTGGAGGAGGCACTGGTGCAGTTGATTGAACAGCTTAAGCACTCTTGAACCATTGTATCCAATTCCTTCTCATCTGGGGTCTGGAGCAGCTGGTGATTTCTGAGGAAATACGGGAATCTACTCCTGTGGCGTGGGGATGGGATTTTGCATTTAGAAACATTCAATTCACTGTCGTTCTCCGCAGACTATTGATAAACTGCATTAAGCGTTTCTTAAAGTGAAAGCCAGCCATTCGGTTCTGTTACTGTATTCCAGATTTTGAATTAATCTGCAAACAGTATTGTTTTTATCCCTTGAAATGTTCGGCAGATCATTGATGAATGCGAGGAAAAGTCGGAGACGAAGTAAAGACCCTTGTGGAACACCATGCTAGTGACCTTGTTAGAACCGGATAGGAAATCAGAAGCACGAACGTAAATGGTCCGTTGTTGGCGGACTGCTCTAATTCAATCAAGCACGAAACCTCGAATATTATATTTTTAGAGCTTCTGTAACAAAATTTGGTAGTTTACCCGATCTAATACTTTCGAGAAGTCCTGGTAGATTATGTCCACCGCCTCCCTTTTGTCGACTATTCTGGTCCATTAATCTGGAAAATAAAGCAGGTTTGTGAAACAGATCATTTTTTGCCTGAACTAATGTTAAGCTGTAGAAGAATGCTGTTTATTTCTAAGTGTTCCATCTGCCACAATTAACTCCATGACTTTCGATAACACTGATTTTGAGGTTAGAGGTCGGCAGCTAGCGAGATCACTACTACATCCACCTTTGTATATGGTCGGAATGACTCGTTGTTTCCACGATTGTGGGAGCGTTGTTTGATCGAAATCCGTTGGCATAGAATGACCAGTGGTTCAGATGTGATTCGTCAAAAAGATGAGGGATTTCGGGTGTATATTGTCGGAACCTGAGTTTGCATTTTTTTTCTCAAACCCATTAGTTTTACTTAAACGTTTTCAACAGTAAATTCTGCTCTGGCCAAAGAAGGATATGAAAGAGGATGCACCCCATGAGGTAGCTGTAGACCTTTAAAATGGAGTGCATCAAAAACTTTAGAATACTGAGTTTTCGGCATTTCAGCCACTTTTGTTGGAGTGGCTGAAACTCTCCCAATGCAGCTTAGTGCCGGTTTACCAAACTTCACTTTCCGAATTGAGTTAATGTGTTTCTACAACAGCTCACGAATCAGCACAGAGTAGTGGTTTATCGGCACGCCATAATTATTCCAAATGACGACATCCGGAATATGTTTATAATCTCGCCAGGACAGATCCATTTCCTCATGCAACTTCGAATAGGTGAACTTCGGATGATAGATGTATTTATTTCTTCAGTCTTAGTCACTGATGCTAGTAGTTTTGTAAGACTCGGTAGGTTTCTGCCAGGAGACCAGCGAATTGTGTTCTTCGGCTTGATCGCGTTACACTGAAGAGCATCTGGAGCATAAAGTAAAAAATACCGCCACTTGTGGGAAGATCGCATTTTCGTAGAGACATATTTGGTAAACAAAGTTCGAAATCAATAATGACAACTAACAGCCACATTTCAGTAACAGCGATGGTGTCCCATTGGTCATATTCGAAACGCCACTTGAGTTTGGAAAATTTACCAATAAATCCGTGTGCATTGGTAAAACAGCAGTTCAGGTTTCGTCGATGTTGGAATCCCATTGGTTGAGAAGTGGTGTCTTTGTCGATTGCCTCGTTATCGGGTAACAATCTGAGCAGTCAGTGAAATGTGAATGGGTTCTTTGATGCTCCTGTTTGAATTACTGGTGGTGGATAGTACATTTTCCCTATCGCATTCTCATTGGTCTCATGGTTCAAGCTAGTTCAGTTGCAGGAGTGTTTTTCTTTTTCGTATTTTTACTTCCTTTCATTGAACAAAACAAAGATACAATTTTCAGGAATGGGGAAGAGGTCAATCAAAGGACTGTCATTCAACACACACACACACAACGGGGAAAGTCAGGCGGTAGTGGTGGGATTCGTACATACATTCCCGGGGTGATAATTTGGCGGCGTTACCACCGGGCCACCACCGCTCAGTTACAGTTACATTATCTTACGCTTTTCACGGCAACTTTGAACAGGTGAGAAACAAGACTCTCGAAAAAGCTACATGAACGCAGCAACGGAGAGGTCCATGTACAATAACTACTGACAAACGGTAAGGGGACTGGTGGATAAATACGGTTGTCAGAAAGTTGTTCTATCTCCTAAGCCACAGACTGTACAGTGCTTTTTAATTTACGTTTCTTATACCCTCGGTCCCC